TGGCGGGACTCGAACCTGCGACCTCTCGCTGTCAAGGCGAGCGTCATAACCATTAGACCACGGAGGCTTCATGGTTGAACAGATTCAAATACCACCAGATACACTCCATTACACAATAGGTACGGCTATATATATAGCCCCTGTCGGGGAAGCATAGCACCCCCCACCTGTCGGGAAAGTCGAATAAACAAAACAAAAAAAAATTACTTTCATTAAACTATTAAACTATTTTTGTTAACTTTTCATCACAATAATAATAATAATAATAATAGTTCAATGACACCAATTAAAAATAATTTGCGTTCTGTTATGACAAATGCTCGTTTGAATAGCCTCATGAGGCTTGGGATACATCTGATAGGGGAAGCAACCTCGACCTTGATGACCGTTGACAGATTTCATGCAAAATTTTAAAAATGTAGAATAGGTTTTGAAAATAAATTAGATAGTTACATTGCATACTCTTTGTTTCTTGTTTTATTCAAAATATTTTGGTTTTGGAAGCTGATTTCAACATTAGAAAACATAGCATACATGAAGTCATATTATATTAGCTCGATGCCTATCAAATAATAATCGCCATAATTCTTCAAAAATATCCCTGGCCCCCAGCCAAGTAAGACTCGATTCGCTCCACTAGCACCACCCCCCCCCCGCGTCGGGCCCTTTAGCCCCTCCGTCGGGCAGGTCCTGGCGCCATCACTGGGTTGAACAAATTAAAATAATTGTCAGGTACGGTTGGAAATAAATGCAGTTTATATATAAATCCAAAAATATAAATTGTTTGTTTTCCCTTCTTTTTTTAAGATACTCATCAGATGGAAGAAATAGAACCCACAGAGGCCTAGAATGGCAATACCTTACATCAGACAACTTTAGACTAATTTGTAGGGCATCTGGCAAAAAATAAAGATAAATTCACTCATATTTTTTTAATTTGTAATTTTTTGTTTTGTTTTTCTGCCCCCATTTTTTCAGTGAGTTATCGGCGGGTGAGGAGGGCAAACATACATTTTTTTGCGCCTAATTATACAGGATTATTCTGATAATAGGATCATGGAGCCTCTGACATCAAATCAAAATATAGCTCTTGATTTAGCATGCATAAATTAACTTCAGCTTTTCCAGATAATTGCATTTCATTGGCTGGTCCTTCCAAAAATTGTCCAAATGACATACAAAGGTCACAAGGCTTGGAACATCAACAATTAACGCTCCTGTGTATAAATGAAAATTTCCTGGTATCCAGTTTTGTATGAACTTTAAGTATTTCATGTTTATGACCTCTAGTTCCACTTCTGTTGAAATTGATGAAATCAGTTACCTTTTGATCATATTCACCAGATTTAAACAGTTCTATCATATCTCCTCAAAGACAGCAGAAAGTTAGTAAAGGAAGTTTGAGTCGGGTTAGCCTCCGTGTCTTATTCGTTATTCAGTATTTGAGCACTAATAATAATAATTTGAGATTTGTATAGAGCCTCCGGTACAACCAACCTCAAGGTACTTGACAACAATGAACCTACACTCACAGAGAACATTTGAAGCCTAATTTAAGGCAAGAAGATTTGTACTCATTTCCATGGAATCACTAACAATAATAATAATGCAAGTCTTTTTGACTTTTTTGCTTTTTAAAAAGTAAAATGAACATTAACAATGACTGTAAACTAATCATAATAAAAAAAAACTTTTTAAAATTTCTCATTTTCTTATGAAACAAAATTAATGCTGCCCTCTATCAGACAAATCAAACACAATAAACAATATACCATTGTGTCAATTGATTTTAACCTTTAATTCAACAATCTCAAAACAAAAAACTCTTCATATTTCAAATCAAATGTTTTATGCTCATGAGTAAAATAATCACTTGTTGAGAAAGGTTTCACAAAATAAAGTAAATTATTAAATATAGTCAAAATATTTTGGCACTGCAGTATGGGTACTGGCATTCGAATCATCGTTCAATGAAGTAAGTCTGTGAAAATCATTATGTTGCATTGCAGATGGATCGTTTCAGCTGTAGAATGCACCCAACTTCATTTTAAATATACACCATGGGGATTTAGTCTCCATTATTTAACTTCTATAATTTTAATTGCTAGTATTGTAAAGCACAATCCACACACGTATACACATTATCTGGGGAAAGAAAAAAAAGAAAATATGCTATAAAAAGTGCAATTAACATTCTTAAAGCTTTGTCTACATTATCAAATTTTATGTGACAAAAAAATGTCATGTGCCCATATATGGGTACGATGAAGTCATATCACATATCAAATCGTATCAAAAGAAGTTGAACATGTTCAACTCTATGTTCGATCACATTTTATGTGACGCTTTCTTTGATGAAATTTGATAGTGTAGACTAAGCAAAGTCCTGTAAAGACTCAAATTTTATTTTATGAAAAACTGTTGTATAATGCAAATATATAGTCAAGATATGCCTATACATCAATATGATTTCATCATTTTATCATCATAATTTAGATTTTATTAAATTTAATGTATGTATATAGGCATGGGGTCAATTAAAATGAAAATGTAATCACTACAATGTACTATATTTTCCAATTACAATTACATTTTCTCAATTATGATTGCAAATAAATTTCCATTTTGGTGTTCAGACAAAATCACAATAAAAAATCTTTCAATCACACTAATACATGAAACAGATGTTTGTAAGAGAAAGTTTGTTATTTTATACTATTGCTTCCCAATAACTTTGCTGCTGGCACTGCTTGTAACAGTGTCTTGAAGAAAGACACTTTGATAATATGTATTATTATGTGAAGAAAAATGACATACTCATTGGGATTCCAATCCAAGACCTTCCAACAACATACACAAAACATACTTTACAATATAATTTTAAAATCACCGCTAATGTGTGTGTGTGTTTTTTTATTTAATTCACATCCAACAGAAAATACCTCACAGATTACTGGATGGATGGAAGATGTTTTATTTTGTTTATGATGAAGAAATTTAACCACCTGAGCTACACAACTCCACTCCATCCTAATTATTATCCCCTGATATTCAAGGTTTGGTTTATAGATAAATAGACTATTCCTTCTCACTAATAATCATGTGGAATCATTTTATAAAAGTAACCCTGTAATTTTAGCTTTTGTGGGTTGAGTACATGGTTTTATATGGGATAGGCCCTACTGTAAAATTGAGATCTACTGTTTAATAATCATCAAATTCTCATTAAAACTCAGCGGGGAACTTATGTAAGTACAGTAGTGCATCCTATTTAAAGCAAATCAACAGCTCCTTGGTTTATGTTAAGTGAAATAACAACAATTATCAATAGCTTAAAGTTGGATAAACTGTTGACAACAACAGCTATTTCTGAATAAACAATAAAGCAGATGAGTTTTCTGCCATCCAGGGGATGTCAATTTAAAATTTTATAAACAAAACAGTATGGAAATGTAATCAAATGTAACTGCCATGATTACAACTTACATTTTCCAAATTTACAATTACATTACAATTACTTTTTTTGAAGCAAATTACACCCAATTACATTACAAAATGTAATGATTACAATTGATTACAATTACAAATTACAATTATCCCATGCCAGGTTTAAGATCCAACTATATTTTATCCTGTATAAATACTTTAAAAAACAATGCACTGGCTTACTTGATTAATATATCTTGTCTTTCTGTGGTTTGTCTAACCCTAGCTCCTCAGGTGTTTCAATACCCAGCTCGTCTAGCGTTGGTCGTACTTCTTGCAAAATGTAAGGGTAGATATTCTTATGGCCTCCAGATTTGTCCTGCAAAATTAAGAATTTCATCATTCAATATTATCATCAATAATCTGTAGTAAATGAATGACATGTTTTAGGTGATGATATTCATACGGTTCTTGTTCTACGTATGTTTGAATATCTGTGAGGTATGCTCAAGGTATAATTTTACAGTGTTATGTTTGATGGGTCATACAATCACAGAAAATTTAACGATTGGACTATTTACTATTTGTTGACATACAGTGCTTAAGCGCGTTACCCTGGAGGCTGATACTCATACATCATTAACTAAAACAGACAAGTATTTATAGAGAGGGGAGATAGACGTATGGTGGTTTGTATGGTAGACCACCATACAATGCAGTCTCTCTGCCCGACGATCTAGAATAATTACATCCTGATAACCATTGCATACGTTACACTACCCTTTACTAACCTTGACAGCTTCTAAGATACGGATTGCCATGGCATTATCATTAAGTCTCCTGCAAGCTTTGAATGCAGCTATTAGAATCTTGGGTTCGGGTACAAGATCATGGCCGTGGAGCTCGTTCAAGCCTCGGCGCAATTCCCAGTCATCAATTTCGGGTCGATTGAAATATGCTTCCCATCGTGCATCAAATTGTTCATCTGTTTCTTCAACTTTTGCTGAGAAGTACTTGACTGATACTGCAAGAAATTGAAGAGGGTGTTACACTGTACAAAATAATCTGTGATGCGAGTATCTAAATATGTACCCAACGTCAATGAGAATTATAGAATACTGTAGCTACTGTAAGTCTGGCCAACTGTAGCATTACGGCAAATAGAAAAATTTACCAGATTATCACTCCCGCCCGTGTCAAAAATTCTGAGAAAGATTGATGCGGGAATAAAAATTAATTTTTTTTTTGCCGCATCAATTATTCAAACAGCATTAAATAAAAATGCAATTTTGTGACTTTAAATACATTTTCTTTAAAAAAATTTAAAATTATACCAGTTTTTATACAATATTTACTATTACAGGCCCGGGTGCAGGCCAAATATAAACAGTCCTTCCCTCATCGATAAAAACAAAGCAAAATAATTTTTTGTCCAGGTGTTACCCTCTCTGTTGTGAGCCACATAATGTCAGTACTGTTTATGTTGTGACTATTTTTGTGACTATTATTGTTAGAAACATGTACAGTCAATCTTACAGTATTTTACATGCCAAATTGTTGTTTTCCATTACATTAATGATCTGTAAGTTGAATTTTATCCAAGTCAAAACATTTTTAAATGCCATTTGGATTTGACCATAGAGGAAGATTTGACTTAGGCAAGTTCAACTGTATTTTCAAAATGTCTTACAAATTTACAAATGATTCAAATTATGTTTATAGAGAACTCAATTGTATCAATTAATATTCAGAAGCTCTCTATTTGCATTGATGTAGAATGTAATGACGTCATTTTGATTAACTGATGCACATTGTGTCAACTGATTTAAAAATTTTAAAATTATACAAAAAAAAAAAACAAACTGTAATGTGTAAAGTATTTCATTTATGTAGAGAATACATCAAAAACTAAAACAATGTGCATGGAAAATTGCTAGAATCATTACACAAAATTACACTGTTAATTAATGCATTGGTTGTTGGATTCTAATATTAAAACATACTGTAGGCCTAGGCCCTAGGCTAGAGGCCTAAATCTTCTGTTACATCAGACCTTATTAATTTTTTCCAAAATGCGTAGACATATTTTAAATCTTGGCTTAGCCTTGTAGGCTAGGTCTAAATTTTTCTACTTTTCTGCTTTGTTCCCCTGGCCATCCTTGCAGGCAAAATTTGAAAAAAAAAACCACCTCAACTAATTAAGCCTCAAAAAGACAAAGTTTGTTCGATAACAACAAAAATATGCATCATCTCATGATCAGACAACACCTACAGTTGTTACTGAAAAAGTAAAACTTGGGGCCTAACTGAGAGGTAGTTTAGCTCAGTTGGCTAATCTGGTGGTAGTCACTGTGTGTGCGCTGAACCGTGGAGATCTCTAGGTCCCCGGTTCAATTCCCATTGCTGCCTCTCCTTGTGTTTCAGCTAGAGGGCTGAAATACAAGTTACAATAGTGCATCGTCTTTCGGATGAGACGTTTAAGCCGTTGGTCCCGTGTGCATTTATGGCCCATGTGCACGTTAAAGAACACAGTACACTCTTCGGAAAAAGTAGGATATTGTCTTCCGGTGTACTGTCCAATCACCACCAGAAGGACCCCACTGGAAATAAGTCTTCTTCTAGACTTTCGTGGGCTATCCTTGGTGTTTACACCGAATAAATCAAATCCAATCCAATCCAACTAGGCCCAATAACCAACTAGCTTACAGGCTAGGCCTAGATAACCAGCAAGGTAGAACACCTAACCTGTCCTAGCCTAGCTTAGCCTGTCCCTGACTGAGTAATAGGAGGCCTGACAGGCTAGCCTAGCACTTACCGGCAGGTCTGTGCAACTGCTGTACCTTCAATACAGATCTACATACTGGATTAAATCGTTGGACAAGTTGACGAAACATAGTGTGTAATAATTATTGTATTCGTTTATTATTTAGATCTATTATAATTACTTTTATCTTCAAGTTTGAGGTCGCAATCCACTGCACAAAACGAAAAACAAGATGGATGAGCCGGTCGAATCCCACAATGCCACACGTATACTATTCTCGCTATTCACACTCACACGTCCAAATAATGACTACTAGATTTTTTATTGGTTTAACGAAAAACAAATTTCACAAGTACCGTACGTCGTGTAGTAGTGTTAGGTGTTAGCAGGATCTCTATCAAAACAAAAGTGTAAATAGCCACCACCAGATTTAATACAAAAAAAAAAAAAAACATGCTGTAGGTACAAATGAGCTGAGGCTAGGCCTAATCCTTTTCGAGTCTTATTATAATTAGTGCAAGGTAATTAATTCATGGGGTATAGGCTAACTGGGACACTTTGAAACCTGAAGTGTCTTTGTTGCAAAATGTTCCAGCAGAGTTTCAAAAAGTCTGAGAAATGTTTGCCACTGTATGGGGTTAAAGAACAGGACCCTCTGCAGTATTACACTACAAATAATAGGCAAAATTGATCATATTCTGTAGTGTACTGAAGATTTTGATTTTTTTTTTATTCTGTTCAATATTAAATCTATGATTCCTTGTTTTGCCTTTGGCTTTGCTGCATCGGTTCAATTCCTGGACCACTTTTTTTCTGGATGTGTGGCAAACTGTTCCTTTTGTTGAAAATTAAATGTGTTCATATATTTTTTCTCTTCTTCCATAGTCTGAAAGGCGAAGAGGCAGTTCCCTCATCTTCATCGATCAAAGAGCGGGAAAAAACAAGACAACATGATCCGTAAAATGCCGTTTCAAAATATTGTCATTGCAACTATTGTGGGTGTTTGTGGAGGCTGGTATATATATAAACCAATCTTTGAAAAATATGCACGGGAAGAACTTGGTAAGAAAGTTGAAGATGATGCAAGCAATCTGGAAAGTCACGCAGGCCATCCAATTCAAAATAAAGATGAAATTAAAACCAACGAAAACAGTTTATCGTAACACCAGTGCCCGGAGAATAATTATTATTTTCCTCTCTATTTTGCAAGCAATGACAATAAAATTATGAAGATGGCATTACATTTCAGTTTTGTAATTATGAATACAGTTAGCAGGAACAACAACTGAAGATTGTCTCATATAACCTTGTGCTTCTTAAGATGTAACAATTTTTTTAAAAGAGCTTCTTCAAATTCTATTTGTATTTATAACTGACATTTATAGAGTACAGTATTGCACCTTTTGCCATAAATTGGTATTGACAACTTCCTGTGATCTAGATAGTAGTACAGTACAGTACAATCCCTGCTTGACCTGATGGTAATGAAGTAACTTTGGGGTGAAACTGTATGCTGTAGTAGCTTGGTGGTAAAGATGCTTGCCTCCTAATCCCAGGGTCCTTCGCTCAATTCCTGGCACTGTAACAGGGTTTTATCTAGTGACTAAAAACAACTCCACTCATATCAGACTTTGTAGAGCATCTTGTTAGTACTGTACAGTATTTATCTTTTGCAGGATTGCCACTTAGTAAAGTCATTGGCATATCCTTGGTGATATACATAAAATAATTGATTTGCAATTTATGGCACATTGAGACTGTACTGTATTTTCTGAAGTACATTGTTATATTATTAAGCGATGTATAGATAATACAATTCCTGATTTCCTTTGCATACAACCTTATACTGTATTAACTAGCTAAATCTTGTGTATAATTGAAAACTTAGTTGTTTTAATCTGTATTTTATTGAATATTTTAATTTCTAATGAGAAATGTATTTTTATTACATTTCCTTAAATAAACGAGATGACTAGATTCACAATCATAGATTTTGGTTATCACTCAATAAATTTATTTTTAATGACATGCAGCTCTCATTTACTTGAACATCAAAGGCAAACAATAAATATTTTATGAAGATTAGATGTAATCAAACATAGGCAATATTTAGGTTTAATTATTAGTTCTATGTATTGCTTCATTCTCGTAAAATAATATGCATTCCACCATCAAACAGGATCAATTAGAAATTCATCTTCATTTCAGTGGGTATCATTCTGAAAAAAAAAATAAAAATCAATAATTATAAATTTATGCAAAGACTTTTTTAATAACGCTGCAATAGTATTTAAATCCACTACAGTACTATCTAACTACTGTACCAACACAGATGAGTTTTCATACTACAGTAGTATTTAAAACCACTAACGTTCAGTTTGAACCCTAAACAACATGTTTGGCATCCGGCAACAATACAGATGAACTTGCCTAAGTCCAATCCAAAATGCCATCAGCTTAGATAAAATTCCACTTACAGATGGTTAAAGCCCCACTCCCGGCAAAATTTCAGTTTTTAAGAAAAATCTAATTTTTGTATAATGTTATTAAGATTTATAAATATAATACGGAATTGCTAGTATAACTGAATTTAGACATTCCTAAGAATGAAAAAAATGTAAAATAAGACTGAAATTCCACACAAAAAATAAATGCGGATGAATTTTTCATTTTGATTTTGCGATAGGTCGTGAGAAGAAATATCGTAGGCGCCGAAAACATTAGGCTAGGCCTAGCCTTACCTCGATTTAGGTTCTGTTATCACACATAAAAACGGCCGACATGATATTTTCCGTTGCTAGTATTGACACTTGTGAAATATAATATTTCATAGGAATTTAAATTTTTATTTAAAATTTGTTTAAAAACTGATTCTGACTAAGATTTTGACACTTAAACAAACATATCTCAGTTTTAATCGAACGACTGCATTGTGCGAGATACGAAGTACAAAAACTAATTTAGAGAGGGCGCACTTTATTGACTGTATAAAAGTATACATAAAAGCGAGAGTATTCCAGTGGATGCGATCTACAACCACTGAATTTGCCTAGTAACGATGAATTCGTCCAGAAAATGGTAATATTTTATGAGAAATAGTCTGTATTTCTCATTTTTTTAATTCTTTTGCGTAAAACTAAAATTCATGCCAATATTTTTCCATGATTTATAATAATTGGAGTAATGCAAATAAATATTTTCTAAAAAAAAGTCAGTTTTTAGTGAAATTTTGCCGGGAATGGGGCTTTAATTGAATGGAAAACACAACAATTTGGCATGTAAAATAATATCGACTAAGAAATTATTCAAGTTAAGCTATTATTAACTGTATACTGTAAATATAAGGACCTCCAGGGTTTTGTGAAGAAGAATATCAACCTGAGCCTATCCTTTTCTTACCTCTTTTATAATTCTAACATACTGTATTTATTCTTCTGTCTTGAATTGGCCTTTGATATATGGTAATTTTCCAAGAATCAGTTTCCAATTTGTGTAATACACCAATCCTATAACACCTGCAGTGCCCCATACAGTCCCTGTCGACAGCCTTACAAAATATAAAATATTAATAATAATACAGTAGCGACTGCAAAGGTTTATCTTGGGAAAAAAATTATGAAATACTGTACATCCCATTGAAGAACACATCAACTTCTGGACGAATCCAACCTGTGTCATCTTTGCCTTCTTGGTATGATGCAAATGACAAGAACGGTTTGTTTACCCGAATTTATTCCCAAATTCTTGCAAACAAATTAGCAAGTGATTCAGGTGGGAATCGAAACCACAACCTCCAGGTTGACTACCAGACCACTAGTGTTCAATTCGATCCCTAAGTAGCAGCAAGGACTGCAATGCTACTTTTATGTGTTTGTGTAAGGAAAATATAGGGTAGTGAGTGATGTTTTGCCCTACCTGATGTGTTCTTGTACTGAACTGAATACTCAATATGAACAACTTTTAATCATCAGGTTTACTGTATCGTAAAGGAGGGCAAAATACAAGCATATTTTATAATTATATTGAATGTCATTAAAAGACACTTCAGAAATCGGAAATGCTCATTTCCGGGCATCTGAAAATCAAAATTACCTGGACCCACTTCCCTTCCAATTTCGGGTTTTTTGAAAACATTTTAAAACTCCCCTATCTTTCAAATCTTGGATCCGCCTCTGTGACTACTACTAGGGCCTAGCCTACGCCCTCTAAGAATGGAAGTATAAGCATGTAGGCTAGGCCTAGCAAGTTAATGTCTGTATGCGGGGAAAGAAGGTTGCGTAGGGAGGCTAGGCCCTACCTATGCCGGGGAATGTATGCCGGGGTTAGGCCTAGGCCAATATAGAGTCTACCGTCAGAAGCAACAAAGAGGACATAAAAAGCCTTACCAAGATCGTGATATTTCAATATACTTTCTACCGATAACTTTATTTAAGGCTTGAGAAATCATGTTGGAAAACTTTTTTAACCACAAAAGCTCTTGACCGGTTATTTCATATCAAAGACCTTGCAAAGGAGGTATTTAAGTTATACCAAACAGGTCGGTCACTCATGGT